ACAAAATGTTTGTTCCCGAATCTGATTATGCTACGTGAAGTTTATGAATACAAATACTTTGAGAGAAAAATGGTCAAAAAAACCCATGTACAAATGCTCTGCTTATTCCATATTGATATTTCTTCCAGCGGGCCATAATAGTTAAATAGTAGTGTGTTAAATAATAATTAAATAGTAATAATAAATACTTTACTATGAAGTGAGTGGTAGTGAAAGTCTAGTCTATTACAAATATTTTATACATAGACAACGTTTTAGCTTCACGAATTCTTGAGGGAACAGAAAAAAAAATGAGAATTTATCTACATTTTACACGTACGATTTCACAGATTTGTTGGATAGTAGGATTATGCAGATTTTGAAAAGGAGACAGAAGATTCAAGTGTGCTTGCGAAGGCGGATTGGGAGCCACTTAAGCTTCTTGCGAAAAACAGAGACATGTTCAAACTTCTTCAAGCCAAAATTATTTTGATAAAGCAACATTCAAATAACAAAAAAAGCTTTATATAAAACTGTCTAGATATGAATCTGGACTGAGATAGCTAAGTCGACAAGGACAGAAAACTTTGAAGACATTCTAGAAAGTGAAAGGCGTGAAATAGTTTCCTACTTACATCCGTAATATGTGCGCCCCAAGTCAAATTGCAATGAAATAACGTCTAAGTTCTCACTAGTGTCTGAGTAGGGAAAAGTTTTACCATTAACACGTAGAGTTTGGAAATAGGAGAACTCAAGTAAACCATGCGCAAATATTTTCTAAATATCTAAACTTAGGATTACCCTACAGAAATCTGGTAAAACAAAAATTGTTAAATATCAATGATCCATAATTTTCCATCGGATACCGTAACTACTTACGGAAAAAGACGTTGTATTATGAACGGGTCGGAAACCAGATTGATTTTTGAGATTGAGAATTGCTTGTAAACAATGTGTTCTTTAACCTAGAAAAAAATTGTAAGATTGAAATAAGACGAAAGTGGAGGGTTAAGTTATATTAGGGATAGGAATGATGTGCGCTAATTTCCATGATCATGGAAAACAAAAGAAGATAAAGAAAATTTAAAATGGGCGTAAGAATGTGTAGAAGAAAAATGAAGATCGGATAAAATTAAGTAATTAAGATTTTTTTTGCGCGGTACCTTAAAATAAAGTGAGCTAAGTTACTCCTTTTAACATCACCTATCTGCCAGTGAAAATTCCATCCTAATCGGTTCAGAGGTTTTTGCGTGATGTATGTTCAGACAGACGTCGTGTTAGAGTTTTATTATAGTATAGACTATAGACTTCTGTTAAATTTGTCTAAAATACGACAGATCTTATCAAGTGATAATGGCTGCAGTAGGTTAAGGTGCGCTTATCATGGATTTTGAATTAAATTATTGGAATAAGATCGAATTAACTAAGTTTAATCAACCGCCATTGACTAATTGACTGCACCTTGTCGTAGTGGCCTAAACCTAGGTGTAACCGTGCTTAATATTTAGCCATAACATATCTGGAATAACAAATAGATGAAATTTTACTATGATAATCACATTAACCTTTCTTCTACAAGATTTTTATACATGCTTATGTAATATTTTGATCCTTACATCATTAACGAATAAAACGAGCCGTTCGAAATATGAACATAAGATCAAGTTCACGATGTGTATTGAAATTTTAGTTTAGTGATAAAGCTTTCATTAATTTCAATAAAAGCAACAATGAACGATAAAAAGCAAATAGGCTGTGATAGATTCTTCCCGCAGTTCGCAATGAATTGTTTATATAGTAAAGAAAACGACATCGCACCAGACGCGTGAGGTGGCGAAGATAAATATTAATTAACTACCGTAACTTTATTTATTGTCTGTGATGCCGACGGGAACTGTCAGTGTGAATCTACTTTATTTGATTTATACTTACCGTATTATTGGTTGTTAACTCACTGTATTATTGGTGTTTGGATTTAAACAGTGTCTTATCACGTTTCCCTCTCTTTATGATCATAGTAATATTTGGTCGTATACTTATGCATTTATTAGAATATGTGAATGTAAAAATAAAGAGGTTTTAGCTATAACAACGGCTTGCTAATAAAACTCATATATTGAAATAAATAAAAATTTAAATTTGGTTTTTAACAATAGTCTACTAGTAGTCCACTGCTAAACAGGTCTCGCCCATAGATTGCATTATAAGGGTGATATTTGGCAAGTGCCGTTTTTTGTTTCCTACTTGTTAATAGGAAAATGCTGCTGCCTATCTCCTGGTTTATTTACCACCACTACACTGCTTACGTATCATCAATAGCATTTAAATATAAAAGTACAGCTAATTTAAACATTTATTTATTTAAAATATTTTTGGCGAACTTAATGCCTTTTGGCATTCTGTACCAGTCAGCTATGAACTAAGCAGAGAAACTTAAGCGGGTGCTATAAATATGTTTCAAAGGTATCAATTCCATAAATACAAATTATAGGGTACTTTTTATTTTTCTCTTCATAATTAATACATGGGGTCATGGAGTTGAAATTATATATTGAATAATAAATGGTTGGGGCCATCTAGGATATGATCGCAAGTCTGCAGTCTGCAGTTTGCGATCATATCCTAGATGGCCCTAACTATTACATCACATTTGATAGACCACAAATCCTCGCAATAGAACATCGCTTCCTACCAAGGATGATACGTGAGGCTATTGAAAATAAAATACACCCTAATTTCAATAGAGATGGAGGCTGGGTATTACCACCTGCTCGGGACTTTGGGTTTAGTTTAATTTTATTAATTATATTAATAAAATTAAAACTAAACCCAAGCATATCACTGCAAGACTTCAAAACACAATTTGTTCATTCTGCGTAGATCGGACCAAAAACTTTGACATCGTGACGTCAGTCACCCGAGTGCCCCGTGACCATGGGTGCTGGAAAGCACCCGAAACGTCGGGTGTTAAAAATAACATAAATAAACGCGATAAAATCCGTAAAAGTAGTTTTAATCAATGTGTAGTGTTCGCGTAAATATAAAAAAATCATTAGAAGCAACCCTTTAAGCATGCTACTACGTAGTACTATAATTTATTCTGTGATGCTATGGAATATAGGTATTTAAAACACATTTATAGGGTTTTTATAATTATTAGCATGTAAATTTCTATGCCTCTTCCATTGTAGAGAGTAATAAAACTGATAATAATTAAAGCTGTTCAGAAATCGATATTTAAACGTGTTAGAGCCACGCTGCAGGTATATTAATTGTAGCGCAAAGGGGTCAGCTCGACCAGGGTAGGACCATGCTCTCACAGAATACCAGCGTAATGCCGTGTTTAATGTACTGTTTTATGTCTATGGGCCACAGCATCCACTTACCATCAGGTGGACTGTGTGCTCGTTAGTCACCATTTTTCTATAAAAAAACCGTTATCAATCTTAATAATAAATATAGATCCCAATAATATTGTTCTAAATATTCTTATATACGAGTATGTGTAGTTGAATAAAGAGAAATAAACAACTAATGTCTATTAAACATAATAATTATGTAAAATTACGTCATACGATAATTTTGTTATGCTAAACAGATGCAGTGAAGAAATAATTATTTATCAATATTTATTCCGGAAGGAACACGTATTAGCGTGATTGCCACGCTTACATTGAATATCAATTAGAGTGACTGATGTGAGAAGATTCGCTGATATTTTATCGCATATTATGTGACTTAGCGGTTAATGCTACGAATCTTAAGTTGCAATCCCAGCTGGAGCCTGGTTTGTACAAAAACTCTTGGATTTTGTTCATAATTATTACATCTGGCTAGACTTGTGATTGCCCCAGTAAATTGTGTATAAATTAAAGTATAAGTTAAAGTATTTTGTAAACCACAATTCGAATTATTCTTAACAAGCTTGAAAAACTCGGTATTAGTGTTTCTAAAAGAAAATAAAAAATGAATGTTATTTGTAAAATAACTAAGAAAGGAATAAATGAACTAAGGCCTCCTCTAGAGTTTCCATGGCTTCCGGTCGAGTGTTAATCGTGTCCAGCAAATTCCAGACGTATATTTAAAATCATCATCTTCGTCCACGTTGTTAGACCTACACTTAAGTCCTCCTCTGTTATTATCGCAGGAGGATTCCATCAAATATTAATAGGCTAGGAAGAAGTAAATAATTATTACTATCAAGTAACCTAAAATTTTTAAATAGTAACTAAAACAGTTTTTAAAATTTCCATGTTTTTAAAATAAATGAAAAGTAAAAACACGTCAAAATACACCAGGATTAATCTACAATAAACATACATATGTAAGTAATATTAAAGGAGTTGTATAAATGTATTCGTGTGGCCCACAATTAATTGATTCGGGTCTGGACGTTTGTCCTTATGCAATTTATGTTTGTAAACTGCCTTCAAGACACAGGAAAAAATCCTAGTGTAGGGGGAAAGTTTTTTTAAAAAAGAAAAAATATAATGTCAGGCATATTAAAGATCTAAAAACCTTAAGTAATGGGTAAAGATTCGATTCTAAGATCATTAAGGAAGACTTATTAATCCTCGCTTTGAATTTAAGAACATGTTAATGTCATTAAAAGAAAAGTTTTGTATTGAATAATTTACCTATACCAAATGAAAACATTACTAATAAAATAAATTATCTAATAAATACACAATGTAGTGAGTGCTTACGATATGGTTCGCTTACTACCGGATGCCAGTTGCTTCGGCGGTTAGTTACAAACAAGGGTTCGAACCCCACACACGTTAGAAATGGTTAAAAACAAGTTGACTTTACGTGCCGTTAGCTGCAAAGTTTTAAGAATTCCACTTGGAACTGTGAAACACACATTTTCACGTTGAAATTCAGAATATCGCGTGTAAGAGAAAGTTGTTTTTTTTTATTCTTTCTGCAAGGACTTTTTACTTTGTGAGTTGAAAAATACTTTTCCAAGTTGTTGTGCTTGTGACTATTGGAATACATATTTAGTAACTCCAATTGTGAAGATGTGGTGTATGATTCATTTCATAGTCGTTCTACAATGTAAGTTTATGAATTTCTTATAAAATAAATTTTAATATTGTTTTATGGTATTTTCTTGAAATATGATATTAAATATTATAGGATATTAACTGTTTTAGCATAGAAATGCTAATATAATTAGATCAAATGTGTATATCATTGTTGCTGTATTTAGTTTTCATTCAAAGATGTTCCTTCTCATATTTTATAAAAATAAAGGAACTCAAAATTCTTTTTTTTGTGATTTTTTCTGCATTTTGTATATATTGTGGTTACTTTATAGTAAATTTATACAACATAAAATTTCCGTCTAATGATTTATTTTTATTGTTAACTATTTAAAAAATTTAATTCTGGTTTACGTTTGCTTTAGTAGAGTTTTAATAAATAGTTATATAAACACATTTTATTGTGGTGAATAAATAAAATTCTGTAACGAATAAAGGAATCCTCGGATGATATTAACATGGTTTTATTACCTTTACATTTATTTATGTGTGTGTATGTACGAAAATAATTTCGTATTTTATTTTCGCCCACTTCCATATGTCTAAATAATTTGTTGTGAAGTCGTGTTAAGAACCGATGACTTACTACAACTTCATGACTATCATCTAGTCTTCTTATTATTATAATCACAGCTGAAGATAAATGCTTATTATTTAAGTTTATTATACTTTAGTATTATTATTAAATATTTTGATTTTTCTTATATCATGATACAGAGAGACAAAAGAACTATCAGCTCGCTGCAATAAGTAGATTCCGTAGGTCCTGGAAACCAGAAACCAAACTTAAGCAAAGAAGACGACAGTTGCGTTTTCACCCCTGCAGACCAAGATGGAATGCTTCACATACTGTAATTATACTGTCTTATACCTGAATAAGATAGGACAGAAAAAATTAGGAGAGTGGTAACAATTCAGATGGACAGCCAAACTGAAATGAAGGCACCCTACATGAATGAATTTGAAAAAATTTATGTACATATTTTTTTTCTTCTACTTAATTAGCTCGGTTGGCGATCACATTACCATATGTTTTGATACCATCAGTAGCAGTAGTAACATCATTTTGACAAGGGCAGCTCTCCGTTGCCAGTCTATATATATAATCGGAATCTCGGAAACGGCTCCAACGATTTTCATAAAATTTTGTATGCAGGGAGTTTCGGGGGCAATAAATCGTAGATCGATTTATTTTTAGAAAATGTCTTTTTGTCCATGTTTTTAGGCAATGAAAAACAGCTACAATATCGTTAGAATAAGAAGGTAAATTTTGACGGTTAATTAGTGATTACAAATAGCTTAATTGTTATATTGGGCGGTCACAAAATCGTAATACCATGGTTCGCGCCCAGACCGACCGACTGACTTTTTTTTAATTTTTTTCAAGTTCCTTTCTTTTTTGAGAAAATCTATTTTTCGAGCCGTTTTTTTAGTATTTTTTAAAAAACACGACAATTTAAATTAAACTAATTGCACTCATGATTTTTTATTCAAATAACCAGTTCAGTTTTTTCTATTATGTCGCTAAGATCAAAAAATATTATTCGTATTTCATCAGTATGTAATTTGTATCTAAATATAATTTCCAAAACACACGAATTAAAAAAAACCGAGCGAAAAATACCGAGCAAAGCTCGGTCAACCGGGTACTATTACTGTAATTTTCCGTACGTAGTTTTTTTTTATTCATTACAGGTAATAGGATCCAGACCAAATCGAAGCAAACAACTTCTAAGCAGCAAAATAGTCACATTACCTAAATATAACAATTATCATAATTCATTTGATACCCGGGTTCTATCCCCACCGGCACCAATTTTAAGTACTAACACATAAGAAGCGGTGAAGGAAAACATCATGAGGAAACCTGCATGTCTAACAAATTAAAAAAATATTTTAAAAACATATGAAATCTGAAATGTAAACGTGCATTGTGGCAGTGCGACACACTTCCTTGTTCTTAAACCCTCTCAGAAATGAGAGGAGGCCTATCAGTGGGACGTATATAGGCTGTTACTTTACTTTAATTATATTTTATACTTAATAGAATCTTTACTTTGTGAAATCTATTTAAATAAAAATGTTACATAATAACATCCAACATTTGAAGAGATTCGCCATAATCCTCATGATTGGTGAGCACAACAGCCATCGCAGCTCCAGTTGCACCTTTGACCCTGTTCTCAATCGGCTTTTATAATATAAGTTTGTCACAATACGAGTATGTACTATATACTGGAGGCATTTGAGACGTCTATTATAGTCGCCTCTTATGATATTATAAAACCAAATTATGTGATAGATTCTCTTGCACCGCTTAAAATACGTTTCAAATGAAATTAATTAGTTATTGCTCTAAGTTCTATCACAGAGGGAATAATCATTAGAAAATTATTTTCGGGTCTTATTAGGAATCTGTCTCCCTCATCATATGTTCATAAAATTAGTCAAATCATTTGTTACATAAAACCTGCCACAAGCAAGTTTTTAAAGTACTGAAACGTACAAGATTAGCGCTCCAAAAGCCCATTTGACGTGTTATGCAAATCAAAGCATGTAAGTTTCTAAAAGTTTGTTATACTCAGAATATTTTTCAGACCTAACGTTAGCATGTGATCACATTAAAGAAATTCAGGATTTTTTAAGGATTGTTGAGTTTCCTGATCGCTTGAAACTTAAAAGTAATATCAGCGATGAATAATATACAATTTTAAGTAATTTTATTCAAAATTATATTACTCATCCAATGTCATTGTCATCTTATAATCGACGTTCATCAATGGATATAATTGTCAGACGTTGCTCATTTAAGTAGCAGTATTTGTAATTTCATCTCGTGTCAGGTAGAACTTTATGTGATATAAAGTAAGAATCAAACTATAACGATTTAATATCTGTAGGAAATTATAATTTTGTTCTATTATATTTTCGTTCGAAATTAAATTCAAGCTTAAAAGTTTTCTTTATTCTCTCTTAAGTAACCGAAAGGTATTCGTAGTCACCCGAATATAGAAAACTTTTACCCCGCTGAAAGCAGTGACTTTAAAAATTTAGAGGTAAAAGTGTCGTCGTGGAGTCCCGAGTCCTTATTAACATCAGTCGAGTCACTTTCAAGATTACTCAGTTTGGAAAGTTTGAATTATTCGAATCTAGAATGTTTTACTTTTTACAATGATACTTATAGTATTGTATACAAAAAATAAACTTTTAATAATCCATTCCACTTTGGAGTTTGCGAGGGATTTTATATACAGTGTCAAAATTAAGTCTGATTTATATTATGTTTCAAATATTTTTAAATGAATAAGATTGAAGAGTGAGCACACTATCCACCTGATGTTAAGTAGATGCTGAAGCCCATTTACACCTGCATATATTGTCGAGTAGAAATCGTAATGTAGATGCGTTACCACCCCTGAGGACTTAGAATGTCTCGTTATAAGTAAAAAAAGGATCAATGGTTCTCCATGCTCACCATACGAAACACAATAGCGTTATCACACATTTTTAAGCTGGTTTTCTGTGAGAATGTGTTTCTTTCCTGGTCGAGTGGACTCATTCAAGCTGCAGCCTCAACATAACCATAGCGTACCTCAATAACACAAGAAATACAAATATTGATAAAGAAACAAATTTACGTCCTAAATTAATTTGCCACATACATAATCATCTCTCATATAATTTCACGGCATTATTAATGACTACAAGTTTTGACCTATTCTGTCTGAAGGTTCCAATAATCAGGTACACTTCGTTTTTATTACCAAGCAGCAATGTGTCCTGCACTTTTCCGGTCTGAATAATATAGAGAGTTAGTATAATTTCAGGCTGTGAGGTATTCCATCCAAGTTGTATTTGTGATAACATTGCATTGCATTGCATTCTGTAGCCTTCTTTACTTAAGGTTGGTAAACAATGTAAAATTTATATAATTAAAATATAATTATATAATTAGAATAGAATAATAGAATAGAATAGAAAAGAAGTGACAGAGAGAAACTCAAAATTATAAAGGCTGCGGTTGCTAATCCGCCTGCCAGGCGTGGCAACTATGGCAAAATTCCCTCATGGAGACAATGTATGGGGGGGTGGGGCTCTGTTCAGCAGTTGACTTTTTATAGACTGCGATGGATGGATGGATGGATAAATGAAATAATATTTAGGTACCACAAAAAAAATTAAACTCTTTAATTCTTGTGTTAACACACTGTACTCTGTGCTCATTCTCTTATGACAAATTCACAATTGACTCATTCTTGGTACACATGACACAGAAAAGATTGAATTCAAAATAAATAATTTTAGTTTCCAGCAGGTTTTTAAGTATATTATATTCTTTACTGCATCCCATACAAACATAAAAATATATGTAAGTATACAAACATATTATATGTGTTCGAAATTTGTAGTCTTATTGCAGCATTGGCAGCAAGCTATCATACAAACTAGGGATTACAGAATTTTAAAAATAATTTTATGAACTTATGTATTATTCTTTTTTATATTTGATAAAGACATTATTTCGATAAAATTTGACAAAATAATTACAATCAAGACAGAAAGGGCAGTCTTTTTAGAAATAAATATATAATCGATCAGCACATTTTATTCTGATTTATAAAAAAAGTTACGTTGAATTGTGTCAAGTTTATAATTTAATAAAATAATTCCACACCCGATACAATCATAAAAACTTGTTGGGTCTTGTCCGTAGCACGCGACTAAAGACGTGTGTTTACGGTCTGACGCACCAAAGACACGAGTACAAAGAGTTTTTTTTTGCTCTGTTTTTGTTTTTGTTTAATAATGAACAGGATTTTCGCTCTTCTGAGCAGACACCTTTTCATTAGTCTTGGAAATAAGGACGCTCGCGCCAGTTTTGTCTAATTAATATTGTTTATTGTTTTTTCGTCCTTAATTAGCATCTGTTAATATTTTTATTCCATTTGACCCCGAGTGATCTGACAGAGAGTGGCATTAGGTATTAAATCTTCCAGTATAAATAATGGATAA